TCAGCATCAGATTAAAAAAAAAATACACCATGACCAAGTAGGATTCATACCAGATATGTAAGGATGGTTCAACATTAGAAAATCAATCAACGTAATCCACCACATAAATAAAAGTATCACATGATCATCTCTATAGATGCAGAAAAGGCATTCAACAAACTCCAACACCCATTCTTGATAAAAACTCTCAATATAATCAGTATAGAAGGGAAATTTCTCAACATAATAAACGGCATCTATGCAAAAACAACAGCCAACATCATTCTTAACGGAGAGAGGCTGAAAACATTCCCCTTGAGAACAGGAACAAAACAAGGATGCCCTTTATCACCACTCCTATTTAACATTGTGCTGGAAGTCCTAGCTAGAGTAATAAGGCAAGAAAAAGAAATAAAGGGCATCCAAATTGGTAATGAAGAAGTAAAACTGTACCTATTTGCAGATGATATGATGCTATAGATAGAAAATCCAAAAGACTCAATGAGAAATCTACTGGAACTGATAGAAAGATTCAGCAGGGTGACAGGATACAAGATAAACATACGACATCAGTTGGATTCCTATACATCAATTAAGAGAACAACAAAAAGGAAATCAGGAAAACAATACCATTTATAATAGCCCCTAAGAAAATAAAACAGAAATAAATCTAACCAGGGATGTAAAAGATCTATACAAAGAAAACTACAAAACACTACCACAAGAAACCAAAAAAGACCTACATAAATGAAAAAATATACCATGTTCATGGATAGGAAGACTCAACATTGTGAAAATGTCAATTCCAACCAAAGCAATCTACAAATACAATGCAATCTCGATCCAAATACCACAGCATTCTTTAAAGAGATGCAAAAACTAATCATTAAATTTATATGGAAAGGAAGAGTCCCCGGATAAGTAAAGCACTACTGAAGAAGAAGAATAAAGTCAGAGGACTTGCAATACCGGACCTCAGAGCCTACTCTACAGCTACGGTAGTCCAAACAGCCTGGTACTGGTACAACAACAGATACATTGACTAATGGAACAGAATTGAGAACCCAGATGTAAATCCATCCACCTATGGTCACCTGATCTTCGACAAAGGCTGAAAGTCCATCAATTGGGGAAAAGACAGTTTTTTTAACAAACGGTGCTGGCAAAACTGGATGTCCATCTGAAAAAAAATGAAACAGGATGCATACCTCACACCATACAAAAAAACAATTCAAAATGGATCAAATACCTAAATATAAAACAAAAGCTATAAAGTTCATAGAATAAAAAATAGGATTAACACTAGAGGCCCTAATATATGGCATTAACAGGGTACAAACCATAACTAACAACAAACTCCAGAAGATAAGCTAGATAAGTGGGATCTTCTAAAAATTAAAAACTTGTGCTCATCAAAAGACTTCACCAAAAGAGTAAAAAGAGAACGTACAGACTGGGAAAAATTCTTGGCAATGACAAATCCAACAAAGGTCTAATCTCTAAAATCTAAAGGAAAGTCCAACACCTCTAAAACAAAAAGACATAATTCCAGTTAAAAAATGGGCAAAGGATATGAACAGTCACGTAACCAAAGAAGACATTCAAACAGCTAACAGACACATGAGGAAATGCTCTGGATCACTAGCCATTAGAGAAATGCAAACCCAAACCACAATGAGATACCATCTCACCCCAGCATTACTGGCACAAATAAAAAAAACAGAAAATAATAAATGTTGGAAAGGCTGTGGGGACACTGGAACTCTTATGCACTGCTGATGGGAATGCAAAATGGTATAACTATTTTGGAAGATGCTATGGCACTCCCTTAAAAAGCTAGAAATAGAAATACCACATGACCCAGCAATCCCACTCCTAGGAATATATCCTAGAGAAATAAGAGCTGTCACAAATAGACATATGCACAGCCATGTTCATTGTAGCATTATTTACAACAGCAAAAAGATGGAAACAACCTAGATGCCCATCCACAGATGAATGGATAAACAAACTATAGTACATACACACAATGGAATATTTTTGCAATGGTAAAGAATAATGATGAATCTGTGAAGCATCTTACGGCATGGATGAATCTGGAGGGTATTATGCTGAGTGAAATGAGTCAATTACAAAAGGACAAATATTGCATTAGACCACTACTATAAAAACTCATGAAAAGGTTTATACACAAAGAGAAACGATCTTTTACGGTTACAGGGGAGGGAAGGGGTGGAAGGGAAAAACACTAAATAGACTATAGGTAAGTGATAATTTTGGTGAAGGGTAAGACAGTATACAACACTGGGGAAGACAGCACAACTTGTCCAAGGAAAGATCATGGAAGCTCCATAGACACATCCAAACTTCCCGAGCAACCCAATTACTGGGCTGAGGGCTTGGGGGACCATGGTCGTGGGGAACATCTAGTTCAACTGGCATAACACAGTTTATAAAGAAAATGTCCTACATTCTACTTTGGTGAGTAGTGTCTAAGGTCTTAAAAGCTTGTGAACAGCCATCTAAGATACTCCACTGGTCTTACCCAGTCTGGAGTAAGGGAGAATGAAGAAAACCAAAGGCACAAGGGGAAGATTAATCTAAATGACTAATGGACCACAAGTACCAACAGCCTCCACCAGACTGAGTCCAGCACAACTAGATGGTGGCCGGCTACCAGCACAGACTGCTCTAATAGGGATCATAGTAGAGGGTTCTGGACAGAGCTGGAGAAAAATGTAGAACAAAATTCTAACTCACACACACATAAAAAAAAGACCAGACTTACTTGTCTGACAGAGACTGGAGAAACCCTGAGAGTATAGCCCCCAGACACCGTTTTAGCTCAGTAACGGAGTCACTCTGGAGGTTCACCTTTTAGCCAAAGATTAGACAGACCCACAGGACAAAACAAGATTAAAAGTGCACACCAACCCAGGGGCAAGGAAAGCTGGTAATAGGGAACCCAAGGTCAAGAAGGGGTAAGTGTTGACATGTCGTGGGGTTGGTAACCAATATCAGGAAACAGTATATGTACTAATAAAAAAAAAAAGTTTTAGAAAGCAAAGGTGTCACTTTGAGGACTAAAGTGTGTCTGGCCTAAGCCATGGTCTTTTCCATTGCCTCATATGCGTGCGAAAGCTGAACACTGAAAAAGGAAGACAGACGAAAAATTGATGCATTTGAATTGTGGCATTAGTTAAGAATATTGAATATATTGTGAACTGCCAGAAGAATGAACAAATTAGTCTTAGAAGAAATACAACCAGAATGCTCCTCAGAAGCAAGGTTTATAAGACTTGAGGAAAAATCAATCACTAGAAAAGGACATCATGTTTGGTAGAGTCAGCAAAAATGAGGGAAACCGCCAGTGAGATGGATTGACACAGTAACTGCAACAATGGATTCAAACATACCAACGATCATAAAGATGGCACAGGACCAGACAACTATTCATTCTGTTATACATAAGGTTGCCATGAGTTGGAGCCGACTTCATGACAACTAAAAACAACAGCAAATATGATAATTGATACTTATGCTTTGCTTTTGTATTTTCCTTTCATTAAGTTGTCAATAATCAAGAATTACTCTTGGAGAAAAATGTTCAAAGAAAATGTATTATCTTAAACATTGGACTAGAAGATTAATTAGGCTCATAGATACAAAGTATGAGTGACAATACATACTCCTTGCATACTTTGTACATTTATTGTTCTGTTACTGAATTATACTTCTTTTGTAAGTCCTTCTAGTTCACAAATGTTAATCTATTCATTCTTTGAACAAGTATTGAGTAGAAAATATTAAACACAGTTCTTTCTCTAATGAAAGTTACCAATTCCATATTATGTGAAAATGGAAATCTGTATTAAATATAACAAGCATAACAAGAGACAGAAAATCTAGTTTTTCTCTTGCCTCTGCAACTGATTTTTGAAGCAATACTAAATAAACAACTCTCTATATCTAATTTATGTTGTTGATGTTGTTAGGTGCTGTCGAGTTGGTTCTGACTCAAAGCGATCATATATATATATACAACAAAACAAAACACTGCCTAGTCATGTGCTAGCCTCACAATTGCTATTTTTGAGACCACTGTTGCAGCCACTTTGTCAATCCATCTCGTTGAGGGTCTTTCTCTTTTTTGCTAACCCTGTACTTTACCAAGTGTGATAGCCTTCTCCAGGAACTGATCCCTCCTGATAACATGTCCAAAGTAAACAGGGTGAAGTCTCACTATCCTCAATTCTAGGAACATACTAGCTGTACTTCTTCCAAGACAGATTTGTTCATTCTTCTGGCAGTCCATAGTATATTCAATATTCTTCACCAACACCATAATTCAAAGGCATCAATTCTTCTTTGGTCTTCCTTATTCATTGTCCAGCTTTCACATGCATATGAGGTGACTGAAAATACCATGGCTTGGGTCAGGCACACCTTAATCCTCAAGGTTACATCTTTACTTCCTAGCACTTTAAAGAGGTCCTTTGCCGTAGATTTGCCCAGTGCGATTTTTGATTTTTTGACTGCTGATTCCATGAGCGTTGACTGTGGATCCAAGTAAAATGAAATCCTTGACAACTTCAATCTTTTCTCCATTTATCATGACGTTGTTTATTGGTCCAGTTGTGCTGATTTTTATTTACTTTATGGTGAGGTATAATCCATATTGAAGGCTGTAGTCTTTGATCTTCATCAGGAAGTGCTTCAAGTCCACTTCACTTTCAGCAAACAAGGTTGTGTCATCTGCATATCGCAGGATGTTAATGAGTCTTCATATACATATACTTCATATACTCTGGCTGCTCAGATTATTTGCTCAGTGTACTGACTGAACAAGTATGGTGAAAGGATACAACACTGATGCACATCTTTTCTGACTTGAAACCATGCAGTATCCCCTTGTTCTGTTCAAATCACTGCCTCTTGATCTATGTTCAGGTTCCGCACAAGCACAACCAATTGTTCTGGAATTCCCATTCTTTGCAGTGTTATCCATAATTTACTACAACCCACACAGCTGAATGCCTTTGCATAGTAACAAAACACAGGTAAACATCTTTCTGGTATTCTCCGCTTTCAGCCAAGATTCATCTGACATCAGCAATGATATCCCTCATTCCACATCCTCTTCTGAATATGGCTTGAATTTCTGGCAGTTTCCTGTCAATATACAGCTGCAAACATTGAATTATCTTCAGCAAAGTTTTACTTGCATGTGATATTAATGATATTGTTCAATAATTTCCACATTCTGCTGGATCACCTTTCTTTCTTTGGAATGGGCACAAATGTGTATCTCTTCCAGTCAGTTAGCCAGGTAGCTGTCTCCCAAATTCCATGGCACAGACAAGTGAGCACTTCCAGCATTGCATCTGTTTGTTGAAACATCTCAATTGGTATTCTATCAGTTCTTGAAGTTTTGTTTATTGCTAATGCCTTGAGTGCAGCCTGGACTTCTTCCTTCAATTCCATTGGGTCTCGATCATATGCTACCTCCTGAAATGGCTCGATATCAACCAATTCTTTTTGGTACAGTTACTCTGTGTATTCTTTCCATCTTCCCTTGATGCTTCCTTTGTCATTCAATATCTTGCCTATAGAGTCTTTCAATATTGCAGCTGGAGGCTTGAATTTCTTCTTTAGTTCTTCCAGCTTGAGAAATTCCAGACATGTTCTTCCCTTTTGGTTTTCTAAATCCAGGTCTTTGCATATATTATTATATACTTTATTTTACCTTCTTGAGCTGCCCTTTGAAACCTCCTGTTCAGCTCTTTATTGTCATCATTTCTTGCATTCACTTTAGCTACTCTACATTCAAGAGCAAGTTTCAGAGTCTCTTCTGACATCCATTTTGGTCTTTTCTTTCTTTCCTGTCTTTTTAGTGACTTTTTGCTTTCTTCATGTGTGATGTCCTTGATGTCATCCCACAGCTCATCTGGTCTTTGGTCATTAGTGTTCAATTTGTCATATCTGTTCTTGAGACGGTCTCTAAATTTAGTTGGGCTGTACTCAATGACATAGTTTGGCTCTTGTGGACTTGTTTTATATTTCTTCAGCTTCAACTTGAACTTGCATATGAGCAATTGATGGTCTGTTCTGCTGTCAGACCCTGGCCTTGTTCTGAATAATGGTATTGAGCTTCTCCATTGTCTCTTTCCATGAGTGTAGTCTATTTCTTTCATGTGTATTGCATTCAACGAGGTCCACATGTACGGTCACTGTTTATGTTATTGAAAAAGATATTTCCAATGAAGAAGTTATTGGTCTTGAAAAATTATATCATGCGATCTCTGGCATCGTTTCACCAAGGCCATATTTTCCAACTACTGATCCTTCTTTGTTTCCAACTTTTGCATTCCAATCACCAGTAATTATCAGTGCATCCTGATTGCATGTTTGATCAATTTCAGACTGCAGAAGATGGTAAAAATCTTCAATTTCTTCATTTTTGGCATTAGTGGTTGGTTCATAAATTTGAATAATAGTCGTATTAACTGGTCTTCCTCGTAGCATATAGATATTATCCCATCACTGACAGCATGTACCTCAGGATAGATCTTGAAATGTTCTTTTTGATTACGAATGCAATGCCATTCCTCTTCAATTTGTCATCCCCAGCTTAGTAGACCATGATCATCCAGTTTAAAATGGTCAATACCAGTCCATTTCAGCTCACTAATGCCTAGGATATTGATATTTATGCGTTCCATTTCATTTTTTATTACTACAATTTTCCTAGATTCATACTTTGTACATTCCATATTCTGATTACCAACGGATGTTTTGAGTCATGCTACATCAGCAAATGAAGGTCTTGAAAGCTTTACTTCACGTCATTAAGGTCAACTCTACTTTGAGGAGGAAGCTCTTCTCTAATCGTGCCTTCCAACCTGACGGGCTCATCTTCTGGCACTATATCAGACAATGTTCTGCTGCTATTCATAAGGTTTTCACGGCCAATTTTTTTAGAAGTATATCTCCAGGTCCTTCTTCCTAGTCTGTCTTAGTCTGAAAGCTCCACTGAAACCTGTATACCATGGATGACCCTGCTGGTATTTGAAATACCAGTGGGAAAACTTCCAGCATTACAGCAACATGCAAGCCACCACAGTACGGCAAACTGACAGACAAGTGCTGGATCTCATTTATAAGTGGTATTATATTATAATGGAAAAAGCAATAACTTTGATTTCAAATACACCTGGATATTCTTAATCTCAGTCAGTCACCTATAGGTGTGTGTGCACATGCATTACTTATTTATCAGATTGATAACTCAGTAGCTCTATAGATCGGTAGACAGATAGATAGATCAAACATATATACATGTCTTTGGAAAAGTTATTCATTCTCTTTAAATTACTGGTTCATCATCTGTAAAACAGAAATAATAACATCTATATTTCTGGATAGTTATGAGAATATATGTAATGGTTTAATACAAGGTCTGATACATATTAATCTCATTGCCGTCAATTCGATTCTGGCTCATAGCAACCGTATAGGACAGAGTAGAACTGCCCCATAGGGTTTCTAAGGCTTTATCTTCACAGAAGTAGACTGCCATATCTTTCTCCCATGGAAGGCTGGTGGATTCAAACTACTGATCTTTCAGTTAGCAGCCAAGTGCTTTAATCATTTTGCCACCAGGGCTACTTTGTACATACTAAAACCTGACCCGTTGCCATCAAATCGATTCCAAATCATAGTGACCCTGTAGGACAGGGTATAACTGCTCCATAGGGTTTCCAAGGAGCACCTGGTGGATTTGAACAGGCAACCTTTTGTTAGCAGCCATTGCACTTAAGCACTACGCCACCAGGGTTTCCTTGTACACACTAGGTTCCCAAAAATGAATATGGATTATTTTCATAATATATAAAATTAGAGTGTTGCACTAGAAACTTAATTTGTGGTTTGAAAACTTTAATGTTCATTAGAATTATCTGGGGGGAGGGGAGGAGTCAAAACACAAATCGTCAGGTCCTCCTCCCAGATTTTCTGATTCATTAGGTCTGGAGTAGGGTTCAAGAATGCATTTCTAACAAATCCCCGGGTGATACTGATGTTGGTCTGGGAACCATACTGAGAAACATTACACTAGATAATTTTTGTGTTAGACTCTTTTGAACTATAATGTACAAGCTCATTTGTTAATTTAGGTAATACAACTTATCATAATGTTACACAGGAAAGTAAGAAAACCAGAAACAATTTCTCAGTAGCTAAACAATTCAGCAATCAGAGAAATGGAACATCATTCAAGATAAAATGGAAGCTTGACTTGATGTCCTCTTAATAATGGGAATTCCATTGCTTCAAAGCCCCAGATATTCAGCTTCTTCCTGTCAGTTTATTGTGTCTATCTACTTTCGTTTTAGCTACTGACTACTCTTTCTCCATTTACTTTTCTATCTCATTGGCCTCTGCTTATTCATCTTCTCTATGTATCTTAATTCAACAAAGATGTATTGTTTGAATATTCCTCTTTCTCCTTTTTGCACTCTTCCAAGAATGGGAAATTAACTAGATTAGTTAGTCACTTTCCAACAAGGTGTCTCTATTGGACATTGTTCTCAATATTGGACACTTAATAGGTTCTTGGAAGATCTATAGATTGCTTTTTTGGGTTTAAATGCTAATTCCCGGACCTATCAGTTTTGGCTAGGACATATGGGCAACATTATACAAAGCATGATAACTAATGCACAAGTAAATACTTCTGAGCATTTTATTCAAATAGGGACTAGGAGCATGGCAAACCCTCAGAGTACCACAGATTCCCTTCCAATAAAATTCCAGGTTGTTCCTGATTTATAAAATCCATTTCTCTTCTTAGATATGAATATGAGAGAGGAAGGCCAGATATACAACTCACTACCCAAAGAGTTCATATTATAAACTCAAGCTTAATTCTGGTGGGCATTGATAGAAAAAGGTATACAGTAGCAGATAGTTTTATACAACAGCTATACCTTGCAGTACTGTGGCTCTTAGGTAGCCGTAGCCCATCACAGAATTTGTCTACAACAAGGATCTCTATCACATCAGAGGAGGTTCAGGCTAGCCTGTGAGTGTGGTTTTAAACTAGGTTACATTCTCTTACATGTGCTTACTATGAGTCTGAAATAAGGGAAGGAACAGCAAAATATAAAGTTTAGGGTATAAGGCCACAGAAAAGTAGGTTGAGGTTCAGGGTAAGGCTGTAGTAGCAGTGGAAAGCAAATGTTAATCAGGAACTCAATGCAGTACCTCTGTAATATGGTCTGAGAAATCTAAAGGAGATGAGAGGAATACTGAAGGGAGGAAAGAGTTGCTAATGACTCAACCAAGGTTCACTGAATATGGGGTATTCTAGAATTTTGTCTTTCATGTGGTAAAAGCATTACTCGCTGACCTTATCACGGTTGCATGATGGGAAACAAAGATATTATCAGTAACAGGCTTTGGTACCCACAGGCAAATAGGAGAAAAACATAAGATGAGGAGGACACCAATATGCTTCTGAGAATTTCTCAAGTGTTTCAGTCGATAATTTAACTTCTCACTTGCTCTGGTATTCTTTTTGCTAAACAAATATAATTAGTCATAGAAAATAAGTAATGGTTTTCTTCATCAAATCCATCAATAAGGGTAACATACCCGACCTCGAAAATGCTGCAAGTTTATTCCAAGTTTAAAAATGGTTCAGCTGACTGTACTGGAATCTCACCTGCTCTGCTTCTATGAAAGGCAATTTATTTAGAGTCATACTTAGTGGATAACCCAGAGACTAGAACTAGTAAAACAACCTAGCCTAAAACTGGTGACAAGACAGCCAAAAACCATATTATTTAGATCAGAATGTACATTGATTCTACGTTCTATGATCGCAATGTATTTGCTTTCAAAAGAAATTCAATATTTTGACCATCAGTAGTAAAATCTCAAAATAATTTGGATGCTAGCTTCCTTTGATATATTCTGTCAACTATTAACAGTCACACCAAGCAATGAGTAACATCTCATAGTTATTTATTGCATACTTTGTCCCTCATAGTTAACAAAGTTCTTTCATATTACAGTGTTTCACTGACACTTCTTTGATCATTTGAGTCCTACTTTGTGGAGCCCTGGTGGTGCAGTGGTTAAGCACTGGGCTGCTAACCAAAAAGGTCAGCAGTTCAAATCCACCAGTTGCTCCTTGGAAACCCTAGGGAGCAGTTATACTCTGTCGTATAGGGTCACTATGAGTCGGAATTGATTCGACAGCAACAGGTTTTATAGACAGAGTCCTACTTTGTCTATCTCTGCTATTAACCCATACAACTTAACACACGAGATGGAGAAAAAGAGGGTAAACATCTGTTCTCCACACATTTGAAAGGAGCTTTTCCCCTATGAAAACTTATTCCTCACCTCCATAATAGCCAATGTTTAAGATAACACATTTTATTTTCTTTGCTTTTTTCTTTTTCATGATTTATTTCATTAACCTCCAAGCTTTTTGTTTTGATTCTTCAAAAATGTTTTACATTAATTTTATTTTTATAACACAGAAACCTTTTGTTCTTAGTCACTGTCCTACTACTTTCTATTCTTCAAGCTCAATCCTATATACTTTTACATTTATAACTTTTAACCTCATGGATATTGTAACTTAATAAAAATGCTAAATATTTATCTCTGTTCTAGTCTTTTATCCTTTATTTTACTTGTGTCTATTTTATCTATTTTCGAACTCTTTAAAAATTACCTTTACTGTCCTCCCATGATGAATTTTTTTTATGTAATTATCAGCAAGAGAAATGGTACTAGTAGAGGGAATCCATTCTTAAAACAGCCACTTCTCTGGCTCCCCTTAATAAAATTCACAACAACTTAAGACTTTTAAAATAAAATGTATGCTGAGAAAATCAGAAGGTGCGTATTTCAACCAGCTCTTAGTCAATAAGTCATATAACAAAGGTGATACACTTGCTTAAATGATTTGCTTGCTGGAATGATTTTCCATCACTCCATATGTCAGCAGCTTCTAAACAGCCATTGGACTGAAAGCAAATGATACCAACTAAATTCCATGAGCCAGGAGATATTGAACTATATGACTAACAGAGAAAACAATAGCTATTTATTCAAAACCGAGTTTCTTACATTGCTCTCATACCAGTATTTTTAATGTTTTTTTCTGGTTATTACCCACTCCTCTTGTCACGATAAGAGGAAAATCATGTTATGAAGTTTTCCCTTAATTTTTTTGTGCAGTTTCCTTGCTTAAGCTAAAGTCATAAATATCTCAAGTTGGTGTTCATATTATTTATGTATTTATTGAGTTTTACTATAGACTATGCACTGAGCTATGTACCTCACTTGCTATGAGGAAGGTACCATTATTGTACCAATTTCTTAGCTGAGGAAAGTGAGACTCAAAGAGGTAAAACTGCCATATTTCATTTAATCCAAAATGCCATCGACTGTAAGGTATACCATTATTTTATGTAACACCAAGAAATAACATCATTGTCCCTTAAATTATGATGTGATGCCTTGAGAAAAGTCATATGGTATGCAACTATCAGTCTCATCAGTTTTTGAAATATATTAAATATATTAAGAAGGACATGTCAATTTTTTCGGACTCAGTTGCACTGCTTGGCCCAATCCTTTCACAGGCATCTCAATAAAAAGCATAATAAAGCTGTCTCTACTGCAGGGATCCTTTTTTTACTTAAGTCCCACAAATCACTTGGATGTTACTTTGCAAGAAAATGGGAAATAGTGATCATTCCCCCAATAGCAAGTATTCACTAAGATAAAAATTATACCCTACTGCAATTTCTGTCTTTCTACATACAGTGTCTTTACAATTCAATGTTGAGATATGGCACAATCCTTTTGAACACTTAAACAGCAGTTACATTCGATATGTATATCACCACTAAAGAATATAACTTAATTAAAGCAATGATAATGTGAGCAGCTATGACCAAGTATGTGCATACTCAGGCAAGTCTACTATGTCACAGTTGCATCCTGGCCTGCAGTTATTTCAAGACCTCATCAATTTAAGACAACCCAATTTAAAGGATGTTAAAATGTGAAGAAAAAAATTTGTGTCATAATGAAATACGGAAATTTGCATAAGGTCTCACCAATAGTAAATGCTATATAATGTGCATGCTGGGTAGTCCTATAGCAGCTTGTCCTACTAAAAGATTAGAACCCAAAGATAAGGAGAGACCTGATGTGCCACTAACCTTGTCACCCCTTGGATAAATATGTCCACGGAGCACAAAGAGAAGGCTACAGCTGGCCTTCTATAAGACTTCTCACCAAAGGAGAATAGGATGCTACTCTTGGGTGGTTAGAGTCTCTGTGTACAACCTGGCTTTTGGGCTTAGGTAAAAGTAACAGATCCTACCAGGGAAAATCGCTCTGTGAAAAAGGTCTACCACAGTGAAGCATAAACTCACATTTAGTCCCACTTCCTATTCAATCCCAGAAAGTCATAGCAACCTGACTGAGGGATTAGACCCACTACCCAGTGCTCCAACTCTACTCTTCCCTTCATGAATCTTTTGTAATCCTCATTGTCTAACTTACTTAAACGTAAACACCAACCAAACAGGGAAAACTGTATGACCCTTTTATGATCAAGAATAGAGCAGACATGCTCTACTTTAATTTCATCAACGTGGCTTAACAGATGTGCTCAATTGTGACTCTCAGCTTTAGCAGGTGCTAAAACATAAAACAAGGCAAACGGTGAAACTTTAAAAAATCTAATAGGCTCCCTGAAGTATGGCCCATTATCCCTAAGTTTTCTTCCTGAAACAGCTGATGCAATGTTAAAGCCAAGAGTCTAAATATGTGGACTTTTCTGTTGGAGCTTAATGTTACATGGCTGTGAGATGTCTACATTTTAGAACAGTTGCTTCCCATATTACATGATTTTTATTTTTTCTGTCATTTTTTAAGGCTCTAAAAGCTCAGACCATGCTGATACCAAGAAGCTTTTTCTTCCCTCTTCTTCTTCTTACTCAAACCATTGTCAATAGCCCTGAATTTTATAAATACCAAGTGATTCTTTAATTGGTTTCTGAAATTGGAGCCTCACATAGTACAGCTGCATAATAATGCAAACATATATAGCACCTAGGGAAGACTTCCTGAAACAGTATCCAAACTGTACCTGATTTTTCCATTCTTGTCCTACTTTAATCCATTTTTTACACAAAGTCATGTTTAAAAGTTCTTACTATGTTCAAAATTTGTATCATGTTCCTATAATGTTATTCCCTTGCTTAAAATATATTAGTCGCTACCTATTGCAGAAAGCACAGAGCCCTGGCGATGCAGTAGTTAAAAGTTTGGCCACTAACCAAAGGTTAGCAGTTCAAATCCACCAGCTACTCGTGGGAAATCTTATGGGGCAGTCTACTCTGTCTTATAGGGTTGCTATGAGTTGGAATTGACTTGATGGCAACAGGTTTTTTATTGCATAAAGGAGCCTCGGAGTGATGCAAATGGTTAACACTCTTGGCCTCTAACTGAAAGGTTGGATGTTCAAGTCCACCCAGAGGAGCCTCAAAAGAAAGGCTAGGTGATCTACTTCCAAAAAATCAGTCATTAAAAACTCTATGGTGCACAGTTCTACTCTGATGCACGTGGAGTCACCTTGAGTCAGAGTTAATTTGACAGCAAATGGTTTACCGCATGAAGAATATAACTGAAAGTTCTTACCATGTACCACAAGGACCTGCATGAACTAGCCTCTCTAACTATCTCCAACCTATTATTCTATCATGTTCTCTACCAAGACCTCCACCATAGGTCTTCTATAAACTGAACATACCAAAATCTTTGCTGCCCCAAGATCTTTCCATATGTGTCCCTTGTACTTGGAATTTTCTAAATCCCCATTCTTCACATGGCTAGCTACTTCTCATGCTTTAGGTTTCCTATTTAAATGCTCCTTGTTCAGAGAAGCCTTCCTTACCACATATCTACAGTAGGTTTCATACAGATTTTCTCTACACAGTTTTTTTTTAATTTTTTTTTAATCTGAGATCCATACAAGAACCTAAGCTCCATAACCAAAACCAAACCAAACCCATTACCATCGAGTCAATTCCAATTGATAGCGACCCTATAGGACAGAGCAGAACTGCCTCATAGGGATTCCAAGGAGCAGCTGGTGGATTTGAACTGCCGAATCTTAACCACTGAAACACAAGGGCTCCTATCTGTAAAATGAAGAGGTTAATTAAAAGACTTTAACAGTCCCATACAATTTATGTTTATTTTCTTAAATCCAATATCAGAAAATTATACAAGTCAACACAATTGGCTTGTCAATGGAAAATATTTTACTTTACCAAAACAGAAGTAAACAAATCCTTGATACTAGTTCCAAATTCCAGATGCTCAAGTCTAGTATCAGGCCAGTTAGGCTGATTACGTTTTTCAGCTTTTAACTTTGCTGTACCTATATGTTAACAAGTAAAAACATATGACTCATTCAAATAACTAACACACATATATAAACATATATACACACCCTAATAAACCCAGGTTGTTCTACAATGACAAAAGTAATTCTTCTAACAAACTAAAGTCAGTCCAATTAATTAAAAGACATTCCTCTAAAACAGTGCTGTCCAAAAGAACTTTCTGTGATAATGAAAATGTTTCATAGCTGCATTGTCCAATACTTTAACCACTAGTTACATGTACCTATTCAATATCTGAAATGTAGTTACTATGACTAAGCAAATGAATTTTTAATATTATTTAATTTAAAATTTAAATAGCCGTATGTGGCAGGTAGCTACTGTATTCAATAGAACAGCTCTAGAACATAAAAGAATAATCTTTAATATTACAAAAAAATATTTCCTGCCAAAAAAATATACCATCATTAGGAGATTTTATAAGATTTCTCTAATTTTAAATGTAATTTTAGTGTTTCCAAAAGAATTTTAATAGGTCTTATTTTATCTTACAGTAATTTTATGTGGTAGTACATGTATTAAATAATGCTAGGTAAATTGACTTAAATATGCTTCATGATTTTAAGAGAACTTATGAACTCTAGATATAAAGCATTTACTTTTTAGAAGAAAATAATGAGAAGCAAAAATATGTACTAATGAAAGTCTGATATTTAAATAAAATAATATTTGGCCATAATACTACTTCATTCATTCAAATAACACTAGAGCATGACACTGTATCTCTTTGACAGACCACTAAGGGTAGAAGAGGCATATTCACAAAGACACGTAGTTTAGTTGTGCTCTGAGAATGTGGGAGGGTGGTGGGACTACTGCCTTTTAAGAAATTATATTTTTATAGTTACCTGGCATATTATGTGGAAAGCATGACAATGGTATTAATGTAGTCCATGCAATAAAACCAGCAAGAAGAAAATCAATCCACCAAGTCCACAGCCAATGTGTACTATCTTCTCTAAGTTTAGCTCTTTAATTAAAAAAAATGAAAAATTTCAACTTTCAGTATCTTATTACAAATAAAGCCATAATCCCACACACACTCACACAAAGAGTATGGACACTTTCCTGTTAATGTGTTGCTATGGTTGTTTGGCTAGTTATTTGTTTTGTGAGATGGAGTGACTGTGAGTCCTCCAATTATGGGATTCTCTTTCATCTTGAAGCATTCTAACTTTTTCCCTTTTCCTTCTTTCTCCCTGAACCTTTTCTCTACCAGAAGCTATACATTTGGAAGATTACTATCCCTTTGAATTTCATATCTCCTTTAAAACCATTCTTGCCTCTTTAAATCATACACCTAGCCTTTTATGGCATGCCTGGTCCTTTAAATTACACAACTGGCCCTTTAAATCACATATACTTTGAAATTCCTTTCCTACAGTCCCTTCTCTGAACTTTCAGATAAAAGCATTAATTTATCCTTCTGGTGATCAGTCTTAATCATCATTAGTACCCTTTGTTAGCCTCTATCTTCTGTCTAGGGAGCCCTGGTGGTGCAGTGGTCAAGGTGCTCGACTGCTAACTGAAAGGTCAGCAGTTGGAAACCACCAGAGGCTTCGCAGGAGAAAGACATGGCAGTCTGCTTCTGTAGAGACTTACAGCCTTGGAAACCCTATGGGGTCGCTATGACTCTGAATCGACTCAATGGCAGTGTGTTTGGTTTTTTGAGTCTTCTGTCTTCTCTGCAGTTTCTCTAAGTTTGTCTTTGTTCATCACAAAGTCTTGCAGAGGGCATGAAGGCATAGGAATCTGAGGGATCCTGTGCTGATATTTGTTGATTTTTCTCTTTTTACTCACAGTTATTTTGCAGTTTCAGCATTCTTTCTCTTGGAGTAATGCTGAGGGCTTGGCTTTGTGGAGAATTTTCATAGTTGTGAAGTTATTTTGTTATCACTTGAGAAAGAGATTGGGGAAGTTGATTACTACACAGTCACCACTGCCTTCAGTTTTATACACATTTAAGACCTTCTTCAACCAGCCATAGTGGGAAAATATCCACGATCACACCAGCCACAATTTCAAGGTGCTGGTTTCTCATGGTTGACTCTATTGCCAGCTAGGACCTAGAGGTAGCTCATTTACAGGCCTCACCTTTCATAGAATGACAGAAATGTTCCCAGTCTTATTCAATGATGCAACAGCTCCTTATCCATTGCTAGCATTATTCAGGGATACAAACACCTACTCACAATGTCATAAGGTTGCATTCTTGATTTCCATTGTCCAGTAGGCATATATATCTGAATACACGATGACTAGGGAGTTTCAACTCCAGATTGCTACTAGGACTGCATGTTTTCACTTTGATTATAACCTTCAGAAATCTTCCTTTTTTTTTTTCCAATGGAATCAACTAAAAACCTACCAAGTCTAGACAAAGAATTGAGTGACTTATACATATAAAAGTAATTTAGAAATCAATAGATTTTCCTCCTTAGAAATAATTTCATTCCTAGAAATAACTGATTGGAAAATATAATAATATAAAGACCATTCACAATACTAAGGAAATGTATGAAATGCCTAGGATTAAGCTTAATGCGATATATTTAGTAAGGAAAATCACAAAACTTTATTGAAGGCCATAAAAAAAGAACAGAGAAAATAAAGCAACATACCAAATTCCTGCATGGAAAGATATTCTCCCCAATTTAATCCATAAATTCAAGTAATTCAAATCAAACTAATTTCATTAGAATTTGAGATTATCAAATTCATATGTAAGAGTAATTTTGCAAAAATAACCCCTAAGAACATCTAGCTCAATTGGCATAACACAGCTTATAAAGACAATGCTCTACATTCTACCTTGGTGAGTAGTGTCTGGGGTCTTAAAAGCCTGTGAGCGGCCA